TTCGCTTTCCCATTTCCCTAAATATTTTCTGTTAAAGATTAAACAATGATCGTTTAGTATAAATGTTTAGATACTGAGCGAAGACGGTTATCTTTTCATTCGACTAGAAAAAATAATGTGCTAGATTGGTTGATGACTTCGAGTTGTTTTGTTATTGTATGCTTGCGTTTAGGTTTTTTTCAATGCGTAGTGGAAAAGATGATATGGTCAATGAGTCCTAACATTTTATTAAGATGCGATGATGTGGGAAACAAAGGTTGAGAGAGATATTAACAAAAGGCAGAATAGTCCAGTTATTATTTGAGATCCGTTATTTTGTTTAGACTGTGCATCCACTTCTAAGAACCTTAAAGTAGTGTGTTTCTTGCTCACAGAATTATGATATTTTAATAGATTTTCAGTTTGCTGCACAATGTCATGCAAACTTTTTGAATATGCCGAAATTCTCAGTACTCTGTAAAGAAAAGACTTAAGACACATCCAGCTTTCTTGAAAAAATGAAACCTGATATTCTTGCAAGATAACTGTATGAAATTTCAAGAGTGAGCAATGGCACAGAACTGAAAGCATTTTTGAAAGCGTTTAAGGGCGTTCTCAGAAAGAATTCTAATGATGTGTAATTGATTACAAGCTTCTACTTGCTTTTTTTCTTATATAGTGTACGCTTTACATTGAATATTTCAGGTAGCAGATTCTTTCATGCCATCTATCTCATCATACAATAGCAATATTTTCATCACTTTAGATTTCTGAAAAAAATATGCATATCGTGTAAGATATTCGATTGTTTTTGGTATTTTTCGTGTAATAGTTGTTCATCATATTGTAACATGCAAGAGAAAACAAAAGTTATACAGTTATCGCACATAGTAGATGCAAAAGGAGAGATCAATCATCGTCTGAGTCAGTGTCGCCAAACGATGAGCAGACTATTTATGAATTTGGATGAGCGGAATAATCATCTATGGGTAAGTTGTCTGGCACAGGATTAGGTTGCGGACCTTGAATAGGTTCGTCTTCGATATTCGGTTCTATGGTTGTTTCGCTCTCTTGATTTGTCTCGTTTTCATCTATATGAAAGAGCAGTCGAAGTCGAGCTTGAGCAAACTTCACACCGTAGTATCCTGTCCAGAACTGTCTATCTTTGCCAGATAAATGAACAGTCACCGATGTGGGAAAGTGTTGATATTGCTTGTAACGATAAGTCAATCGGTGCCACTTGCTATCGTTCCATTGTGGAAAAGTTCGTTCACACTCCCAATGGTGTCCGTCAGAAAACATGAGACCAATTTGACATTCTGAAGCACAATCCCATCGTGGAGCGACGCATACCGAGAATTCGATTATTGGATGTAGACAAGTAAGCTAGAAATAAAATTGTATAATTATCTTTGACATTCAGTCAATCCTACTATGTCTTGGAGCTTATAGAAAATTGAATCAGAATACTTTCGCATCTCTTTATCTTGTTTCGCGCCTTTTAAAGTTTGAATGGTCGTTGTACAAATCAACTTGAAATCAGATGTTTAGGTGATCTTTCAAAATAAAACCAATGAAAATATAGTGTCGATTTAGCATCATGAGCTATAAAAGTACGCTTCTTTTATGAGAAACCGACAAAATTGCTCTATACATTCAAAGTGAGAATATAAATTTTCCTTTTTCTTTTAAATTCCGCTAGAAAATTCTGTATTGATTCAGCTGGATTCTGCAATAGCACGGAAGAGGATGTGAATCTCTGAAAGTTTATTGATAACTTACGTCATGCCACGATAGTTTATCACTAAGAAGTTGAATATCTCGCTGAAAGAATCGTCCCCAAACGTAAGATGTCGCACGACAGATAGATAGACGATTGAATTCATCATAGAGTCGATGGCTGCCAATTGGAATGAATTCGATTTGTGAATTGGAACCATTCGATTTTCTCCATTTGTTTTCCACGATTAGATTGAATGATGGGTGAAAAGGATTATCAATGTAGAGTTTTTCATAGGCAGTAAATTCGCTAGGAAAAATTTGAGTAGGTAGCAAGACATAATCATGACGACATTTTCGTTGCCAAAAATCCTGTGATTTAAGAATACGACGGAAACGTCGACAGATAAGTGAGATTGAAAGAAGATCAGCATAAGTTTGTTTCAATAAAGGCTGATGAATCGAATAGTCGAAGTATAAGGAGTTTGGCGAGATACGAACATGATTGTTTTTCGTAAGAGACGGCAAGTTACGTAGCGACAGAAAAATCTGTTCGAGTAGTTCATCAGGCAAACGATCGAAAAGATTCATGTCAGAAGTCATCTAGAATTAAGAAGTAAAACATGGCAATTATTTGATTCGTATTTCTACGTTAATAATTGCCTCGTAAAATATCCACCAAAATCATCAAATATGTTCAATTCAATAGATTGATTGAGAATGCCAGAACTTTTGAAAAACATCATAAAAATTCTTATAAATATACATTCATGGTACGTTAAGTCTAATGATGCATATCTGCACAACACGCAGTAGCTATAGATCGTCGACCATAATTTATCTAACTATCGACAATATAATACGCGGGTGTGGGATATTTTAGTAAAATTTAATCATGGGTTATAACCCTTCGTTGATTTTTTTTTTGTTCTCTTTCGTCTAGTATGAAAGGAAAAAAGAACAAAATAAACAATATTTCTTCCTACTTCGCATTTTTTTCTCCCATCATGAATAACGGTCATCTTCGAAAACAAATTTATTGAAGCAGGGAATCATGCTTTCTACGATAATTTTCCCACTTCTATTACAGTAGTTATACTATTTTCAACAATATCCAATTCATATCGCTTCTTAATATCAAAAAAGGAAAAACTGCTGATGTGTTCCCATGACTCAGAAATGTTAGACAAAGCAATATGAAAAAGTTTATCAAAAGATATCAAACGCTTGATGTGTTGTTGTGATTTTTTTTTTTCGTTTACTTGACTTGAAACAGAGTTCAGGGTCTCGGTTTATTCAGATCTAACGAAGAACAAATACGAATCACAGTATTAAAAATAAATTACAATATTGTCAATAATATGTTTTTTCTCGACTACCCACAGAAAAGAATGACAACAGAACAGAGAAGAGAAGAAAAGAGAAAGCAAGTAATCAATGTATAGAGACCTGCCCAGATGTCAGACTCTGACTAACAAATCTATGTATATCGATATTAATTTGTTTGACTGCGCATCTAGATGTGCTTGCAAAAATTCGAGTGAATTCGTTTTTGAATTGTTTAAAACATTGATCAGTTCGGTTCGGTTTGAGGAAAATCAAAAAACATTGTATATCTGAAATCAATGTTACGTTACAAAAGCAGACAAAATTATCGTCAGATATGGTCAAATATGTTGTTTATTCACATGTTTCATAGTATTTGATATCTCATATGTTTTAATACAAGTTCTTGAAACATTTTTATGTCGTAGAAAGTATTTCAGACTAGAGTCGTGAAGTAGAATTTTGAAGAGATTAAAAAGAAAATATTTTATATTCAATGTCATTAATCGTCTAATGAGCATCAAAAAGTATTAGAATTAAAAATATTTTTGTAGTAAAATAGTCTATGCTGAAGAATATTCAAAAGAAACATTTTTGGTTAAGTATGAGCTAAACCGGTCTAGTGCATCAGGGGAAAAAACATCGATATTACACCCTTTAAGAATCTGCTCTACAATAACTATTTATCATTTAATGGAATAAAAAAAAGATAATCTTTGCATCTGATTCAGCCAAATATTTTTGCATCGTGCTATCGAGACGTTTAGAAATAGTTTCGAAGTCTGACTTCATATTGATTTTACACAAAATTGTTGCCATTCTTTTTCAAATTTAATCTTCTAGTTCACATAAAATTTATGGTGTGTGGGTGGATGTAGAGTCTCGATTTACCCCATACACCCAACCTGTGACAATCTAGAAAATCATACTTCTCTGAAACTTTTCTTCTGTGACTGTCTTTTGACATAAAGATCCTTCACACTGAGGCAGTGTAAGGCTAATGTCTTTACTAAATTATGGTAAGCTCGACTCCTTTCAGCCGTTCTCGGTTCGATTTGATTTGGTTTAAAAAAAAACACGAGCTGATCCCATCTCTGATATCTATACCAATCGATGAGGGAAACATTTCAAAAAGATTGTACAGTAATGGTTTAGTACCTTGAACTGTTGAATATATCTATTCAAAACATATCCTCTCTTCTTAAAATACTAAATTTTGAACGGATACATATAGCTAAAAATGTCGCAGATTATATGTCATCTCTTGATCGTAGTATCAAAAGTCGTTTACACAACATTATCGATTTCGTACTTGATTATCGAAACCAGCAAATGGTGTAGTACAAAATTCTTGATATCGAAATTTTTTTACATGATTCCTAATATTAACATGAAACCATCATGTTTTCTCAGAGCCAAATAGGTGTTCGGATAGCGTCGCAAAACCATAAGCGTTTCATGGAAATTCCATTGCTTTTAGAGAAAACAAAATAACAATGTGCTATTCAATTGATTCATAAATATGTCTGCTATTCATCGAAGATCAAAGATGAATAGACATGAGAAGCATCTTTATCATTCACAAGAGTCTGTTGACTATCACTTTGAAAAATAAAATCTTTCTATTGAGTTGCGCAGCAAAAGTAAAAAGTATTATAATATAGTAATTTTTATCATGAATAACCATTATATTTGGAGCTTACAGAACCGAAAAGAAGCTCGATTATATGATTAATTGCATGAGATTGTGACTTCACTAAAGAAAAAAACTGAAAATTTGAATTTATTTTTCTGAGTAGAAAATCAATTTCATGAATTTGATATTTCCTTTGCTGTACAAAAAAAAAGAATTAGTATTAAAAAACTAACAGACTTAAACTTTATTAGTATATATTGGAGCTTATAATTTTAAAAAATAGTAATACTTCGTCGAGTGTCGTTCAAAATTTTGGATAACAATAAAATAATAAATTAAATTACAGTTGTTGAGATAGATCTAAGTCATTATGCTGTTTTACGATTTGATAAATAGCACTTGCCGTAGATCTATTATTAACCCTAGCATTAATATTGGACCTTTTCGCCCAATCAAGGTACCAATATACAAAACCAACAAAACCTCCTCCACCTATAATATTTCCAAGTGTAACTGGTATCAATACATGTAAAATATATTTTCCAACGGACAAATTAGCACCCAATATCATACCCATTTGAACTGTAAACATATTAGCAATAGAGTGTTCATATCCAACAGCAATAAAAACACAGATAGGCAGATAAATACCGATTATTTTTGAATATAAGTCACGTGCACTTGTAGCTAACCATATTGCAAGACATACAAGCCAATTACCACCAATACCTCTTAAAAATATTTCATGCCATGTAATATTACCTTTTGTCTCGGCAAGTTGTATAGTAAATGAACGATAAGGATCATTAGAAAGAAGACCTGCATAGTAAACAAGTATAAACTGAAAGAATATACAACCGGCAAGATTTCCAAAAAATGAAACTATCCATGAAATGATAAGATCCAACCATGTTGTTTTTCTTTGTAATGTTGATATAATTAATATCATAGTATTACCAGTAAATAAATCAGCACCAGTAACAACAATCAAAACGAGACCAATAGGAAATACAATACCTTGTATCAGTTTGTGAATACTAGGGCCAAGATTCTGAGCTAATGGAATACTGCCACCGCCTACAGTCAGGAGAAGCAGACCACCAAATGATAGAAGAACACCAGCTAAAAATGCTTTAATGATCATATGATCAATTCTTTGTTTCGATTTTTGAATTCCATTAACTGATATGACTTCAATTGTATCATGAAAATTTCGAGCATCTGTTGTTATCATGGTAATTGAAATGTCGTCAGTTTAATATCTAGAAAGAAATATTACAAAGTGCATCGTATCCAAAAATAGCTCAATAGTCATGTCTACCTGTTTCTACTCAATTAAATTAAACATGTGATATGACTTGTCGCATTTATATTTCTTATAATCTGAAGGAAAAAAAAACGTATGAAACACACTTATTTTCTCTTTTCTCTCATTTATCCTATCTATTGTTGATTAATATTGGAGAAAATATAAAAACTCAACTAAACAAAAACCTAGGAAAAAAAGCTCTATGTCGTTGTGCCTTATTCGTTTGACACATAGTAGAAGAAAATACATGATTTTAACCGAATGAGAATGAGAATGAGGGGTCTCAAATCTTTTCATGGAGACTGATCAGCTGTTATCCTCTAATATTGTTTTATATACACTTTCGTTAATAGTTGTCGTTATTAATATGGGAGCTCTGTATCTCACTCGTTTGTTCATACTAACAAAACCTCTCTTGATGTTTTGAATATATATGAAGCGACTATCAATGAGGCGTGGAAAGTTTGTTTAGTATCAACTGTGATGGTAATTATTTTCTAATACGTAAAAGGAAAGAAAACCTGAAAATGAAACTTCACTACCGTAACTGAAAAGCTATCTCATTATTTAGTGACAGTGACCAAAATATGTGTGGCTTTTTCGTCACACACGTTCTCATTCAGCAAAAACAGAATAAGCCGAGCATTATTCATAATTGATGGATTTTATTCGTAATAAATCTATGAATGTCTGCACACGAAAACAAACTCAGCAAAATGAATGCATCTTATACTTGTTTATCAAAACATGTGCACTAGCGACGTATGTGTATTGACAAAAACAACGATGTGTCTCTCAAATTGGAAAGAACACTCGCGCGTGACGCGAGCATTAATCTATCGCTTCGTTTGTATTAGGTATGCATAACGGATTATATGTTGATTATGTTAAATATCGAAGTTTATTGGCTCTAATTATGAAAGGTCGGTAAAGAGGGATAGAAGGAGAAGGAAAAGAAAAAAAGCTTCTACCGTGATTAGTACGGTAATTTGCGACATCTACAAACAATTATTATTATTTCTGAATGAAAAAGATTGAGAACAGCTGAGATAATAACAGTTGATCTGAGCTTTCAATGGATATCGAAGGCTCAGATCGTTGTATTGAAATATTCCTCGAAAAGAAGTTAGGATAATGAAGAATTTTTTTGCAGCAAATGAAGAGTCTGCGTTTGTTGATAGTTTCGAAGCATAGGATATTTCAACTTGTATCCTGTTAACATATTATTGCTCAGTCTTTTTGTAGAAATGATTATGCTTTCTCATAAACACATCTGCAATTAGCTACGAGAAAAGATCGATTTCGATCCTTTACAACAAACTTTTATTATTTTGATGTTTCTTGTTTGCTCATTTCTGTGTGATTTTGAAAACTATATCAACACAATTTATTTACATGTATTGTCATCAAATAACGATCATGTAGTAATAAACAAAAGAAAATACAAGAACAAGAATAAATAAATGTTTGAGATGGTGAAAATTTTTGTTCTGCTTGATAACGAAACGGATGAAGTTGTTAGTATAAGTTTTCATCAACTACAGTTCATTTTTTTTGTTCATCAAACTGTTTCGAATCTTTACTTATGATGACGTGTTCAACGTGATCAAAAACAGTTAATAGACGACACATGTCATGATTGCGAGTATTTCATCCTCCTAAAAATAACGATATATGTGCTGCATAGCACTTGACATCGTATTTGAGTGTTGTAGTCCTCTTTGATATGGACCAAACAAAACCATGTTTTATCCTTACAATAGTGGAGTAAATCTTTCCTGATTCATTCTTATACCTAAACTCCACATACTTTGAAATTCAAAGATCTCTGCCCAGGCACGCCATCAGTATGTCATATTTTAAACTTGTTAGTTTGACAGTGAGACCTTTAATTTGACCCGAATATAGTTAAACAAATCAACTGGCAGTACGAACAGTTCCATTGTTAGTATAACATGTAGTCTATGTTTAGGCGACATATGTTCATTATTAAATTATAACAAAAAAATATATCTCTAGAAAAAAAAACAAATATTATACACATGTTCGGATCTGATTCTGTTATATTCTCTGCTCTTTTGCATAAATCGCATGTCTTATCTCAAACTAGGGCTTTAGGCAAGACCGAACATACTATTGATTTCAAAACGTTAAATTATCGAAAAAAGAGTTATTTAATCCGTATAAAATTTACAGGTATAAGTTTAATATAAAACTTTCTAATTTGAATCGTTGT